CCTCCGCCACAGTTAACAACTCTTGGCAGCGTGGGAAACAGTGCCCAGTAGCTCAGTCCTCTGCTCGCCGCTCCACTCTGCTTTTTGCATCCCATTCGGACGTATGGGAAGTATTTTTTGATGGTGGTGAAAACTGGGCAAGAAAGAATACGCTAGGCTTGGCTGGGGCCAGGAGAAATATTTAAAAGAGTCGTTACCTTCAATCCCATCTAAACCAGTAATCAAACTTGGCTATTCTTGGAACCACCTAGGGAGCTTTAAAAACTATGGACCCCTGGATATCACCCCAAAGGTTCTGATGTAATTGATCTGGGATGCGGCCTGGGCATCGGGATTTTTTTAAACTCCTCAGGTTATTCCCAGCTTGAAAACTATTGATATAAATTTCTCATTCCTCTTCCTACCAAGACAAAAAAAAAAAAAAAAAAAAAAAAAACTGAGCCTAATTCGATGTCCCAGGGAATCTGGCCCTTGCTCTTCTGCAACCAGCCAGTGCTGCAAGGTCCCGGAAAATCGGCGCGCGCGGCAACGCTAAACACGCGGCGGCTGGGCGGACGGGCCGGGGGGGCGGGGCCGCGCGTGGCCCCGCCCCCGCACGCCTATGGGCGCGAGGTGCGGGCCCTGACGTCACTCTTGTCAGGGACGCGGCACATGGGCCGCCGGATGCGCTGAGCCCGGCGCTGCGGGGCCGCGGAGCGCTGGGGACCAGCGGCGGCCTGCGCGGGGAGGGGGGTGGGGTGGGACGGCGCGCCGCCTCCGGTGCTGGCACTAGGGGCTGGGGTCGGCGCGGTACCTTCTGCCCTTCTGCAGTCGTCGCCGTTTTTTTTTTCTTTCTTTTTTTTCCAATTTTGAACATTTTGCAAGACGAGGGGTTCGAGGCAGGTGAGAGCATCCTGCGCGTCGCCGGGGAGCCCGCGGCCACTTGGCGCGCTCTCCTGAGACCGTCTGCACTGGAAACCCGAAAGTTTTTTTTTTTTAATATATATTTTTATGCAGATGTATTTATAAAGATATAAGTAATTTTGTTTTTCTTCACTTGTCTCCACCGCCTTGAGAGCGAGTACTTTTGGCAAAGGACGGAGGAAAAGCTCAGCAACATTTTAGGGGGCGGTTTCTTTCTTTCTTTTTTTAAGGGGGAAAAAATTTGAGTGCATCGCGATGGAGAAAATGTCCCGACCGCTCCCCCTGAATCCCACCTTTATCCCGCCTCCCTACGGCGTGCTCAGGTCTCTGCTGGAGAACCCGCTGAAGCTCCCCCTTCACCACGAAGACGGTGAGCGCTGCCGCGGCCCCGCTCCGGGAAGGGACGACGCTCCGGGGGTCCCCCCGCCCTGTCCCGCGGCGCCCCGGACCGGCTCTGATGAAATTGAGGCTCTCACCCAGCACCCTTCGTCCTCCTCCACGAAAGGGGAGGGACCCCTCCTGAGCCGCGTTTAAAAGTGCCTCGGGCACCCGGCCTCCCTGGGTCCCGCTGCAGCGCAGGTGGGAGGTGTAACTTGACAGGTCAGGATCATTCCCTAGAACCAGGCACACCTGCACGCAGAGTGAGCCCACCTGCGGAGGGTAGAGCCTTCCGGGCTGGGAAGGAGAAACCCCGGGGCCTGGTTCTGTGCGGGGCAGGGGGCGGGGGTCGGCCTGAGGGAGGGGGTCCCACTGCGTGGCCTGGGTTTTGGGTTAGGTTACATCTTCTGTTATCGGTTAGTATTTGGAACTCATGAAGACGCGTTTTCTCCTGGTGAAGGGTAGCTGAGAAAGCGGGGTGGGGGCTGGGGCCGGTGAGGGGAGTGGTCTTTCGGCGGGAAGCCGTGCACGCCTACGGCGCTGACACTTTCCTCGTGCACTTTTTCTGGTGGGAGGGGAGAGCTGAGCAGGCTCACGTGTAACCGCGCAGGAGCCTCCTCTGGCTTGAGCCCTTTCTTGGTAAGTCCCAAACCTTCCCAGGACAACCTTGGGGGTAGCGGTAGAGGAGTGTGAGTGCGACGAGGCCCCAAACGCAGCTAGTGATGCCACGGATTTGGGTTGTTGCTGTTTCATGCCTTCAGTATCACAGTAGCAAATGCGAACCATGCAGCTCAGAGTGTAAAGTCTTGAAGGGTTATTTGGCTACAAATAGCTTGGGAGTACTTGCATCTTCTTTCCTAGGAGGGGACAACCTGTTGCACTGCAAGAGTTTGCAATCTGCAGATGATAGCCACGGCCCCCTCCTTAACTATCCTTTAAGGAATAGCATTTGGGAGGAAGGGGCTGCCTGCAGGCTTTTGCAGCTGTGGGTGTTTTAAGTCAGATTTTCAGATGAGACAGTAGAGGGTTAGAATGGATGGCAGTGGAGGCTGTGTTTCTCTGAAGATGAAACTCAGAAGCAAATTCCTTAATCCCAGATTCCACCCACGACTGAATACTAGAATTGGCAAGATCCAGAATGCTTGTTAAAGACCTAATGGGCGAGCAGTATTTCCAGGTTGAAAATAGCTGCATACTTCCAACATAGGTGTATAGAATAACATGCCTTTTCCAATAGCTGTGCTTTTGAAAGGTTTTTTTTTTTTTTTAAATGCATACTCTTTGTAAATTGGGTCATACCCAAATCTTTGGAGAAGAGAAAAAAGAAAACCCTTTGTATTTTTTTTAAACTCCTTTTGTAAAAATCAGTGTGCCCCAGTAGCTTTAGAAGCAAACACATGTGAGCTCAGAAAGTTCTCATTTTTCTTCTCTGCCGACATGAGGCATTGGTCAAGTTCCTTCATGTCTCAGAGCCCCCAAGTCTTTGTTGTAAATGGAGGCAACTGCTATTTTGCAAATTTATTGTGAGATTTTTGAGATGATATACAGAAAAAACCAGGCATCCAGTAGGTGCTCTAAACATGATATTAAAAAAGGGTGGAAGGTCCCTGCTTTACCAAAAGTAAGACCACTAACTCACACTGGCTTTGTAAGTCTAATATAAATGACCTCATATTCCTGCTGCGATGAATTCCTAGAAGATAATTCAAGCCTGGTTATTGGCTGTTGTTTTCTTTAAAATGACAGCAGTTGTATATAATCACAGGTGCTATTTTCCTATTTTAGATTTAAGTTATGACTCTTCTCAAATGACGTGCTGAGACTGTTCTCTGGTTTTTATCCTAGATCAGTCTGTAGCCCTGTCCGAAGGACTAGTGCTTTCTTTCCAAAGTAAATAGGAAGATGTTGAAAAACAGGCAGAGATCCACGTCCTGCCTGAACTTTTAACTTTAGATCCACAAAAGACAGCAGCCAGAGAAGGACCCTGCCGTTCATGAGAAGTAGTTTTGTAACAGGCCAGGAAGAGTGATAAAAGAGTGGTATTGTTTTTCTTTTCTTTTTTTTTTTTTAAGTCCAACTTTCCCTTTTTCTGCAGCATTTAGTAAAGATAAAGACAAGGAAAAGAAGCTGGATGATGAGAGTAACAGCCCGACGGTCCCCCAGTCAGCATTCCTGGGGCCTACCTTATGGGACAAAACTCTTCCCTATGACGGAGATACTTTCCAGTTGGAATACATGGACCTGGAGGAGTTTTTGTCGGAAAATGGCATTCCCCCCAGCCCATCTCAGCATGACCACAGCCCTCACCCTCCCGGGCTGCAGCCAGCTTCCTCGGCTGCCCCCTCGGTCATGGACCTCAGCAGCCGGGCCTCTGCACCCCTTCACCCTGGCATCCCATCTCCGAACTGTATGCAGAGCCCCATCAGACCAGGTAAGCTCTCTGAAGAGTCTCCCTTTAGAAAGGGAGGAGGAGGGTGAATGGGACAGGCAAGGTAGACTTAGCATAAACATCTTAACACCCAGGCTTTAGCAAAGATCCTAAGAGAGGAACCTTCTGCTCCACTCCTGGCAAAAGCCCTCCCACTTGAATGAGCATCCATATCCCTCATCGGGAGAGTCTGGTAAAAACACACTCTTTGTATCTACCTCTAGAAATTCTGATTTTGCAAGTCTGGAGTGAAGGACCAGGAATATGCATTTCAATCAGCTCCCCATAGGATTCTGATGCAGCTGATCCAAAGACTGCAGTTTAAGAAATAACAACTTACAGCTAATTATTTGGATAATTTAAGCCTCCATCTCATCTCCTGTCTCTTTTCCTCATTTTTTAAACACATAGATAATAGACTCTTAATAGGGTTTGGTTTACCTACATTCATTCTTCTCTGTCTTGAAGGAAAAAAAAATGTGAGTAGGGGCGTGAGGCAGGTATTTTTTTCTATCCTTTCATCTTGTTTTATCATTAGCTGAGAAATAGAATCTGAAAGCATGCTCTCGTTTGTGCTTCTTAGCCTTCTTAAGGACCAGACTCTCTCTCGGTGCTATTCCCATAACCCCAACTGTTCTTAATATATTTTTTTCATTTTCATCTGTCCATCATACTCAATCCACCTGTATCAAAGCCCACAAGGCTGCAAGGTCAGCTGTAAATGATCTTGAAATAGTACACAAAAATATCACCTGAAATGACCAGTACTTCAAAACCCACTGCTAATGCTCAGATATAAACACAGATTGAAGCAGCTTTGAATTCATGCCTTTAGCACCCTGTAGTACAAAATGAACAGGAAGAAAGACAATTTCATGTGCACAGGTAACCAGGAACAAAGATTCAGCCAGATAAATCGTCCGGAAGGTCACAAAGCTGAGGGCCTTAGCTGTGGGGGAAGACAGAAAGCAGGACAATGCGAAACTTGTGCTAGAGATTGTTACTGAACTCCGTGTCCTTGACTCTTATAGAAATTTCTGTGGCACACAGAGCAAGATTTAAATGGAAGGAAATGATGCAAGGGAGGAAGAGAATACCCCTGCCTTGATATATTCATATTTAGAGTTAAAGTTCTTTCTTTCAAATCTCTGCGTGCTGGCCCCTTCCCCAAAATTCACTTTGAATTATGCTTCAAGGCCACTGGCTGGAATAGAATTAAATCTTAGCCTCCAGCCACCCCTGGATGCTGTGGGGGCTTGGGAAAACACTCTTTCATGTGATCCTGAGCCCTTGCTACTTAGAATGTGCAGTGGCGCTATCTTCAATTTCTTTGTAGGAACAACCAGCAAAATGAATAACCCTTCATAGTGAGAAAATAGGCAGGAGAGAAGGGAACAGAGCCCCAGTGGGAGACACAGTTGTGCCTCAGTCATGCTCTGTAGACTGAGAATCATCACTTTGTAGCTGTGTGACCTTAGACAGCGATGTCATTTTTGGAGCATCAGTTTCCCTTTTCATAGGATACAATTTCTATTTGATTGATTTATTGTGTAAATTAGAGATAATATGTATAAAAGGTCAAATGACTAGCAATGGGTGTTCTGTTTGTGGAAGCAGTTGTGATCATTGTCATATGTGTCAACTTTCATTATTTCAATCCCCGTCTTCTGAAATATCTTCTTAAAGTAACTAGGTACTGTACATAACCCTTCCTCCGGAGAAAAATGTCAGGAGATTTTTGCCCAGTTTGGATTTGGATATTTTGACCCTAGCACTTGTAATCAGTTAACAAGTATTTCTCAGTCCCCTCCCAAATTTAGGATGTGTACCATGTTAGGGATACTGTATTTTTTCCCAGGAGACGTGCACATATTGGGTGTCCACAGCTTAGTTCCTACTGAGAGTCAAAAACTGGGGCTTTGGAATTTGAAGCGGCTTGAAAACTCATTTGTTAGAGCTTCTTAGAGTCAGTATTGATCAATGACTCTCAGAAGTTTGGGATGCCCAATCAGAGTTGCAGTCTATAGCAAAGAACTCCTGAGTTTCAGGGGCTATCATTTTGTAAGGTTGGATATCATTTTGTAATGGTGGAAAGATGCTGGGATCAAAGGAAACACTGAGGATCTAGAAATAAGCTCTCCATTTAAATGTCTTTTTAATTAATGAAAACACACTTCAAAATAATTTCCTTCTTGGAATTGAAACTTCGATGATAGTCCTCACAGAAAAGGAAGAAAGTTTAATCTCGTCTTCAAATACCAAGCTCAGGTAAAATAACACTCAGCTGTTCATAGATTGTTGATGATTACAAAGTTTACAATGCAAAATAAAATTCTAAGGGATGCTGGCTTGATGGATGGACATTGTAAGCAAACCTGAAAAAGGAGAAAGATCTTGAGTATTCTGTGTGGCTCACAGGAGTGACCAGAATAGAAGTACCAAGTTAATCTTGAGGAACATAAGTCTTCAGAAGGGAAGAGCACAGATGTAGCCTTGAGCGTTCTGGGAATTGTATAATTTCAGTCTTGATCAGTGTTTCTCAACCTTGGCACTGTTAATGTTTCGGGTAAGTCTTGCGGGACACTGTTCCATGCTTTATGGGATGCTTAGCAGCATCCCCGCCCCTACCTCCTAGATGCAAAGTAGGAGCCCCACTGCCCCAGGTGTGTCAAGTAAAAAAGTCTTGCATCACTGCCAAATGTCCGCTGGGCACAATAAAATCACTCCCAGTGGAGAACCACCCATCTAGAACTTCTACTTGGACAGCAAAATCTGGACTTACCCTGTCACACGGGTGGATAAACCATCTGCAATGCTTTATGGCAAAACTTTTAAGAAGGTCAGGAGACACTGAGTTGCCAAGAAGAAACAGAATGTTAATAAGAGCATAATTAC